GTTTGTTTTTATTGTTTAGTTGTTTGTTTTTATTGTTTTGTTGTTTGTTTATTGTTTTTAATGTTTGATTATATTGGTGAGCTGAAATGGACAAGTTGATCCACGGCGCTCCTCTGCTGACAGGCTCCGCCCCCTCAGTAAATCACAACCTTTTCTTTGTTTACAGTCAAAGTTTGTCGTCACGGCAGCAGAACCGGGTCTGAGGACCTGCTGGTCACAGAACCCCAATGAACCAGAGAACCAAACCTGACCCRTTTCCCAAAGTGTCCAAACCGTTCTGAATGTCCCGCCTCACCTGAAGGTTCTCTTCTTTAGTCTGGATCAGAACCTCCAGGTCCAGAACTGGCAGGTCTCATTCTGGTCTTCAGTATTTCTGTGTGGAAGTTCTACTTGAAGAAGAGGGAAAAAAACAACCTTTAGTTTAGATCTGATTTTATTTTGTAAGATGTTTGCTCGTGTTTTATTTTGACAAGCTCCTCCTGGACTTCCTGTTTCCTGGACGTGTTTTCGGGACACCCTCGTCTTCTTCTGTGGTCTTTTTACTGCTGCAGGTTTTAAACTAACTGGACTGGAACCAGGAGAACCACCTCCGTTTGGACCCACGGTGTGTTCTGGTCCGGTTCTGATAGAAGATGTTGATATTGTAAATAATGCAGGAAGAATATTTATTCCTTCAGTTGTTGTTGTTGTTGTTGTTGTTGTTGTTGTTGTTGTTGTTGTTGTTGTTGTTGTTGATCTCGTGAAGCACACACACACACACATAATCATGGTAGGTTTCACCATCAGAACCACAGTGAGTCCACCTGGTTCTGACCCGCTCGGACTCTGGAGATGTGCTGGTTCTGAACCCGGTCCATGYTTGGTTCTGGTGCTGAGAAGAACTTTATTGTAACAAAAGGTTTTATTTATGTTGTCTGAAACAAAGGTTCATGCTGCGGCCTGTGACATCACTGCTCCCAGCCAATCACAGCACTGCAATCTGATGTCTGATGCTTTTATTCTGAAACTCTGGCCATTTTACTTCTTCCTGTACAGAGTTTTTATCTGATTTATTATTGAAAACTGATCAAATCATTAAAGTTCAGATTTAAATATTCATGTAGACAAAGTGATAAAAAGAACAATAAATAAAATATTTCATTTATGGAGTCAGGTGGTTTTATTTTGGATTCATGCTTTTATTAAACTTTTATATTGAATAAATTATTTTAAACTTGTGTGTGTTTTTTTAATGTCCCATCCCTCTTGTGTTACCAGCTGGTGGAAACCTGACGTCACATCGAAACAAGGTTCTGTAGAAGAACGGTCCATTTACATGAAACTGATGTGGACCAATAATGTTCTGATGAAAACACTTTAAATGTTTTCATTTTGTCAAAATAAAACAAATAAATGTCTTATCAATGTTTCATTTGAATAAACTGTGTGAAATATAATCATAAACTTTTTGAGCAGTAGCAACAAAAAAATTAATTTTGATGAAAAAAAAACCTTCAAATTTAGAGTTTTTCTTTGTGAGCTAAATGTGTTTGTTTTGTTCCAGCTGGGAAACGTCTTTATTCAAATACTGTTTGAGATTTCCTCTCAAAAGGAAATAAATCCTCATAAGAATAAAAAGAGGATTCAGACCAAACAGTGATGTGTTACCATGACAACAAGACAAATKAAAACATGATGACATCAGGATGATCCAGGGATCAACATGTAACTTTTAAATCAGGAATCTGAAAATGGGATCAGGTCATTTTGACCTGATTTGACTTCATTCTCATTTTGATATGATGGCTCACGTGCCTGTCAACAAACCCACATTAACCCTTCAAAATAAAGGTTTACTTTTATTTTTAAAAAGTGCATCTGTGCTTTAAATTTAAAAAAGGAACATAATAATATAAGGTTTACATACTGAGCAGCAGCTGGGACCAAAATAAAGATTCAGCACCTCTTTAGATAAAGTCTTTCTTTCAAGAACAAAAACATAATTTAAATAAAATGCTTTTATGTCTAAATTATGGTTAGTGGTTTGAAGTAGGAACAAACAACTGCTGGTGTAGTTCCCGCTCTGACCGCAGGGGGCGGCAGAGAGCAGCAGACCCGGGTCTGACCGCAGGGGGCGGCAGAGAGCAGCAGACCCGGGTCTGACCGCAGGGGGCGGCAGAGAGCAGCAGACCCGCGTCTGACCGCAGGGGGCGGCAGAGAGCAGCAGACCCGGGTCTGACCGCAGGGGGCGGCAGAGAGCAGCAGATCCGGGTCTGACCGCAGGGGGCGGCAGAGAGCAGCAGACCCGGGTCTGACCGCAGGGGGCGGCAGAGAGCAGCAGATCCGGGTCTGACCGCAGGGGGCGGCAGAGAGCAGCAGACCCGGAGCAGCGGAACAAGAAGAA